CCTCATAATAGATTTTTCTGTGACAGCCTTTCATCCCATCCCTTTCTGTTCCTTATGAGTGTATTGATGGAACGTCGGCCTAGTGTGCAGTGGTGTGTGAGGAATGGGAGGCATGTGAGGTTTGAATAGGCAAGGAGTGGGGTCTCATCCTGACATTGGTTAAGCGACTCTAATTCTTATTTTCTAAGGACTCGCGCAGATTAAAAATTTGGATCTGGATCATTAATAAGAACCAAATTTAAACAAGGGGGAGGTGAGAGAGAGAGAGCTCTTTTTAGAACAGCTTTTGCAATTCTGTAAATAAAAACTGATAGACACAGTTTGGGTTGTTTCCAGAAACTTTATTCCCAAGCTATTTATTTTAGTTTCCTATTTTTAAGTTTGCTTTTGGCAAAAGAAAAGTAATGGCACTCAACTACTTTCTGTTGTCTAGTAGGAAAATCTCAAGACTTGGAGTAGTAGGCCTGTCAGTTAATATATATTTATGGAAGGTGTACTGTTTTTACTGTGGAGCACCAAGATAGGATCAAGAAGCTTCAAATTCATTTGCAGAATGAGAAGACTCTCATTAACTAAAAATGGGACAGTTTGAACATCCAAAGATAATAATGACTGCAGTAGATGAAAACGTAAAATAAAATTTGTGAGCTCATTGTCATCATCGTCATCATAGTAAAAAACAAAAAACCACACCTCATTCATTTATCACCATTAGAATTAGTGGTGATATCTATACCTTATTTTGCAGATTGACAAGTAGAGAATAAGAATTAAAACAAGCAGACAAGAAACCCTATCCTGTGCCAGAGAATAAATTAAGGAGTCCAGAAGGAGGGATTATAAGTAGTTCTTTCGTATTCTTTCATGCTGAAACATGAGGTTTCGGTTGTTCGTTTCCCATATGCCAGATTGATGGACAGCTATTGAAGAGAAGACCTCTTCTTAGAGGTTATCGCAGACTTAAGAGACAGTTTGCATAGTGAACAGAAAGTGGAATAAACTCCTCTCCTGGCTCAGAATTCTGCTGTACCTCTTACCAACTGTGTGATCTTGGACAAGTCACTTAATCCCTGTGAACGCCCCTTTATTCATAAAAAATAGGGATGATACTATGTATTGTGTAATTAAATTCAACAAAAGCATGTGAGGCCACTGGTAGTTCAGTCGTAGAATTCTCACCTTTCATTCTGGCTTTATGTACATTCGTTGTGCGCAGCCACCACCCATGTACCAGTGGAAGCTTGCTTGTTGCGCTTTCAGCCTAAGATAGAATAGGAAGGAAGACCTCACTGTCCACTTCCAAAAATCAGTCTGTGAAAACCCTATGGATCACAACAGTCTGATCTGCAACCCATCGTAGACAGGAATGGCACAGGTTCAGGCAGCATTTTGTTCTGTGGTGCACGGAGTTACTGTGAGTCCAGATGAGTCCATGGCAGCTAACAACAACAATAAGCAGTTAATGTATGTTAATTCCCTTGCCCTTCCCTTTTAGTGTTCACTTAGAGAAGATATGGGTATGATGAGGTTTCCATGGAGTCTTAGGTCTCTTTTGACTCCCTGCTGGGCTTCTGCATTCACATCTGCTCAGATGAAGGAAACCACCATGGCTAGTACACTTCTCTGTTGGCATCATGGGGAAGCCTGATGGCCCAGGGAGCAGTGAGCAAGGGTAACAGCATAAAGTGTAGGGTTTGCATTCCTCTGTTTCTCTAACCCAGCTGAGTGATACCAGCACCAGACATCTGCTTGTGGCTGTCAGCTCCTGTTAGGGATTGAATTGTGCCCCCGAAACACATGTGTCACACATTCTAACCTCTTTGCCTATGGTTATAATTTGGAGTGGATTGTCTTTATTATGTTAATGAGATGGGATTAGTGTAGGGTGTGCTTTGAGTCGATCTCTTTTGAGATAAAAAGGAAATTAAACAAGCAAGCAAAAGAAGGAGAGATGAGGGAAGACACATGTCAAGCCATGTGAAAATTTCCAGAAACAGAAGCCCAAAAGAGACAAAGACCTTCCTCTCGAGCCGACAGAGAGAGAAGGCTTTCCTCTAAAGTCCACCCTGAATTTGGACTTACTAGAAAATAAATTTATGTTGTTAAAGCCCCCGCTTGTGATATTTCTATTAAAACAGCACTAGATGACTAAGACAGAATTTGCTACTGGAAGAGTCCAGTGCTGCTCTAACAAATACCTATAATGTGGAAGTGGTTTTAGAATTGGATAGTGGGTGGAGGTTGGAAAAAATTGTAAGGTGTCTGATAGTAAAAGCCTTGGTGCGGCTGTATAGAATGAGCACTAGACTGCTAAACACACGTCAGTAGTTAGCCACTCCCCTGGAAACCTATACAGGGTTGTTATTTGTTGGAATGCACTCAATGGCACACAACAGCAGCAACAAAACTAGTAAAGGCCTAGAAAAAGATGGTAGAAATTTGGATGTCAAAGGCAGTTCTTGTGAGGATGCAGAAGGGAGTGAGGAGAACCATAGAGAGCTTCACTACCATGTTAAATAATATGCATATCAGTAACAGAATGTTGCTAGAAAGATGGACATTAAATGTGTTTCTGATGAGGCTTTAAAAGAAAATGATGAACACATGATTGGACAATGGAGAAAGTGTGATACTTTTTATGCAAGGAAGAAGAACTCGGAATTACATTCAAATGTTTGTTGAAAGGTATACTATATTAGTGATGCACATGACTCTCTGGCTGATAAGTAAGAACTTGATTGGGTCACATAGTTTCTCCTTGCTGTTTACAGTAAAATGTGAGAGGAAAGAAGGGGACGTAAAAATTAACTGTGCAAAATGAAAACAGAACTTAAAGGTTTGAAAAATTTAAAAACTAAAGGTACATGTTCTGTTATGTTCACCAAGAACATGACTACATAATCTTTTGTTAAAGAGTAAGCTTGTGATGGATCTAAGCAACTACTATAGCAGAAAACATATCCGCTTATGCTGAAAAGGACAGAGAAAGAGCACTGTTTGCCTCCTTCTTTGTATTATACAGACAGGGAATAGGAACACTTCTTGTCATCTGAGAAAAGAAAAGGACCATCCCTGAAGCAGCTCAGAAGTCCAGAGAACTGTTGGAAGGAGCTCAGGAAGCAGGACCTTTACGGTTTCAAAGGGTGGGGCTGCAGTTTCTTGGCTTCTTCAAAAGGGTGGGGTCACAGCCTCCTAGGTTTCAGAGAGTCATATCTTTGTTCCAATTCGTTCTGGAGTGTGGGGTTGCTGTTAATGTGTGCTGGACAGATGAGACCACACCCACAGCTGAAAGGGACAGGAGGGTTGCATGCCCAAGGGACAGAAGAATGGGGTCTTTGTGGTCTTGGGGGATTAGGTTGCTATTCAGGTAGACTAATAGAATGGAGCCACACAAAGTCAAGTTATTGTTGTTGTTAGGTGCCGTCAAGTCGGTTCTGACTCATAGTGACCCTGTATTGGGTTTCTCAGGAGTGGCTAGTGGATTTGAACCACTGATCTTGAGGTTCAAACCAACATTGCAATCAAGTACTTGTCTTACAGCACCATGTGAGGACACTCACAAAGTTGAGGATCAGTGTTAAATAGTAAAAGCATCTTAAACAGTAAAAACCTGGATTCCAGGTTTTAAATCAGTGGTTCTTACTCCCTCTTGGAAATCAAAATGATATATAGATCTTTGACTATAGAATCCAGAGATTCTCATCTCAAGACCTCTAATTAAGAAATAAGAGGTAGAGCACACAGGTAATTCTGGTAAGTTAGTGTGATGGATATATAATTCTCTCACTACGATATCAGACATTTCCAAATTAATCTTTCCAGTCTATAATCAAACAGCATTAGCTTGTATGGATGGGTACCTGTGCTTTCATCATTTCATCATCATTTTACAGTCATAAAAGGGCAAACACTTGTTACCTTGTATGTGCCCACCATGTGAACTCCATCAGACAGAGAAAGCCCTGGTATATGTAGCTCAGCTACCTCACTGAGAAACAGATTCCGAAAACCCCTCTGTAACAGTGCAGATTCTTCCTCAGGGAACTTAAACACTGTCACCAATGCCAATGCCAGACAACTGGGACAAATGAATGGAGCATTTGTTTTATTTATTTATTTTACTTACTTACTTTACTTTCTTACTTAATTTACTTATATTTGTTTTTAGAGGGCAATCTTTGACCATGATCTATGAATGGTGTACCCATCCAACCTACCAGGGAAGTGCTTTATCCTTGACCTCCAGTGAGATCTTGGATGCCTTAGGGAATTCCATATGTGGATCTAGTAAACACAAGATAAATGAATTTCATTCTTCAAGTCTTTTATTTTATTCTTTGCAATCCAGGAAAAAAAAAAAAGCCATAGTGCTCTTGTTTCTCAGACTATACTCCAACATAGGAGTTAAGATTGAAACACAGACACATATATGCACACACAGATCCTGAAGAATGTGTGGCAGAGGACATATCATGAGCAGAGACATGGTGGCACTGAACTGACCTTTGCAGCATTGACCTGTGCTCTGAAGACCACTGTTGTTCCTGTTTTGAAAGGAGAAGTAGCTGTGGTTTGTGGCCTGGACTTGAGTAGCGAGCTTCAGGCTAGAGAGAAACAGGGCATCTCTTGTTGAGATTTCAGAAGAAGGCCGAGTCTGTTCACTGGACTTGTGACTTCTGCCACTACTTAAACCAGAAAGAAGTCATAGATAGAAAGGAAGTATTAGGATACCCTTGACAGTCTCATCTAATATGTTGAAAACTGTGGCATTTGGTATAAGGACTTTCTCTTCTTCATCAGGCTTATTCTTTAGGACCTATTGCTGGCACAATAGGTTGTTATTGAAATAGCAGAGGTACTTCTGTTCTTTGACTTTTCTCAGATTTGTATTCTGTTAATGTGTTCAGTTTTATTCACAACCAAGAGGAACCTGGAGGGGAATGGGGGCTGAGTGCTTGCTCATGCATTAACAAACAGTACATCTCACATTGCTGTTATAGCTCATGTGGAAAATGAAGAGCAGTACACCCAAGCGCTGGAGAAGTTTGGTGGCAACTGTGTGTGCAGAGATGACCCAGATTTAGGAAGTGCATTCCTGAAGTTCTCAGTGTTTACAAAGGAGCTGACAGCGCTTTTCAAAAACCTGGTAAGTGCTCAGTATGTGTGTGCGGCTACCGGTTGAACAGTGAAATGCCTACACTTTACATGAAAAGGTATCTCAGTGGAGAATAATTGATATTTGTTTAATAAACTAGAAATAAACCATTTCATAGTTCACATGGTACCCAAAGGAATTATTGTTTTCCATATACATTAGGCCCCTTTGGAATAAAAATTTTTAAGTTGTGAGTTTTACTCTAGTAAGACTTTTAAAAGGCGCTCTGGTAGCATAGTGCTCAGGAGTCGGGCTGCTAACCTTAAGTCGACAGTTCAAAACCACCAGCTGTTCCGCAGGAGAAAGATGAGGCTTTCTGTTCCTGTAAAGATTTACAGCCTCGGAAACCCTACATGGGGTTGCTATGAGTTGGAACCGACTCCATGGCACACAACCAACCAAGACATTAAAAATGCAACTTGTCCTTTTAAATGTGCACAGCAGTGGAATAAAATTTGTATTTGCTTCTTAAGGGCCTCAGGTTTCAATTTTTAATAGTTTTAAAACTGTATAGAATAGTCTGTTTCTTGTAATTATAGTAGGTATTTGAACTTACAATATTTAATAAATCTGTTTCAAGCACATCTTACACAGAAAAGCTAACCTATAATCAAAGCACAGAAATTACCATGAATATTTAAAGGGCTTTTATACTCCCAAATGTAGAGTCTAAAAAACAAGCAGGGCTGAAAGAATCAGTCTTACTTTTTAAGCAAATACAATATGGAATTGTTGTTTATTGCCTGTGGTAGCTACTTAGTTACGTTGCGTGAATTGAGTTCTTTCTTGTGCTTGGCAGCGCTTTGCTGTCCTTGTTGTGGAACCAACATTTGGAAGAAGTGGACTGCCTCAGAGGGCTGTTCGTGGCCCTGGCCGGGTGATTTGATGCACAAGTAGAATTTGTATTGGGGATCTTTGCCGGTATCTCTTTCCTGTTTTTCTCCCAAAGTATCTCTTAAAGATCATGGAAGTCAGGAAACACTGACTAGTGCTTTCTTTGGAGGTTGTCAACAACAGCTTCTTTTTTCATTTCTCCTGTCAGTAAGCTCATACAATGAAAAAATGCCTTATCATTGTTGAAGTGGTGATGATGATGGATTTGTTAGTCAACCTTAGGAGGACAGGAAAAAGGGACTACAGTGTATGAGTTAGTCACAGGAAGAAGGGGGAAAGAATAAGATAGTTAAGGTTCTTGGTCTCTCACTCTGTCTTCATTTGCAGATATTCCGGTTGGAAATAATAAAATATTTTTTAAATAGTTTTTTAAAACCTGTTGCTATGCTGGTTTTCACTTGAATTAATTTGATCCTAAAGTTTGGGACTTTTGTCAAAGTGTACCATCCATTTATTACTGTCAAAAATAGATGAAAATCTGCATAATAAACTGTACCCTCATTCCTCAGCCCCATTCCCTAAATACTGACAGACATGTATGCAAGGGAGCTTCAAAAAGTTTTTGAAAAAGTGGAATTAAAAGGTAATGCACCCTCCATATACAGAGTAGACAGGGATGGGCAACTTGGACATTAGCTACCCAAAATGGGAGGGCTACAAAGGCAAGAAGTGACTGGCTTACAAGCTTTCAAGAGGGAACCTAGATCCAGAGGGCACAGAGGAAGGTAGAATCTCCACTGAGTAGTATCCAATCTGTCTGGGCGGTGCTGATGAAAGGAGATGGGGACAGGTCCCTGTGGCACAATAGTGAGTAATTGCTATCAGCACTGACTACGAGTGTTGGAAATATAAAGGTGGATGTTTGTAGCAAAACGAGAGGAGTGATTGACTTTGCAGTCTAGGAGCAGAAGTCCCTGGAACCATCAAAGGAGAAGTGCTGAGTGCGAGACCCAACCCAGAGAAGCAGTTGCGCCAGAGATGATGACGTGGAGAGATGGCAGATGGGGATTCTAGACCCAGAGAGGGAGAAGGGGGTGTGTGCTGACGACCCACGGGAACGCTTGCAGGGTATACCCTTTGGTTGTTTGATGATGCATGGAGGGGATTGTAAGCATGGCAATGAAACAATATACGATAGGATGAATGTAAAGCTAATGCTCTCCCATGTAAACTATCACATAATTCACAATAAAACATTAAAAAAAAAAAGGTAATGGAATTTTTTAAAGGTTTTTTTTTTTAAGCTACATCTTATTAAGGTCCTAACACCAAGTCAGGAAAAATTGGAGGGTTGTTTTTTTTTAATAAAGAGAAATGGAGTGGTTCTAGGGCAAAAATGTTATTGATGCCAACGGTCTTCTCACTCTTCCAGTGAGAAAAATCTCGTTGCTGCCAAGTCCCCTGTGGTAAAATAAAGCCCAACAGTTGGTAATTCCTTTCCAGGCATGCAGAGCTACCAGTCGGCTTTTTAGTGACTCACTCTTAAATATGAATGAACAGGCTTCAGAATTAAAGAGACTAAAATAAGCAGCAAAAAGTACTTGGGGAAATAGTTAATGTGGAGAACAGAAGAAAACTTTAAAGAAACCATATTTAATTCTTCAGAGAAATAGTTTGTCTTTAAAGATGGCAAGTAGAGAGGGAACAATTACATAAGGAAATACAAAATTAGAAAGGTCCATTAGAAGGGTTGGAGTAAAATAAATCTCTGAGAAAATAGGAAACAAGACAAAGTGATAAATAAATAAGAGGCAAGACCTAGGGATTAATCTTCCAGGTCCAGCATCCAGCTGACAGGCATTTCGGAGAGAATAGTGGAGGAACATCACCAATGCAGCACTATACAAAGGAAAATTTCTAAAACAGAAGAATACAAGCCTTCAGATCAAAAGGACTCATGAATGTCCAGCACAATAAGGGGGAAAAGACTCACATCAAGGCACATCAGTGTGAAATTTCAAAGGAACATAAACGGGCCCAGAAAGCACACAGAGGATTACAAATCAGAATGTCATTGGACTTCTCAACAATAGCACTGAAACTTGAAGGCATGGAGCAGTACTTTCAGAATTCTGAAAAGATGATTCTCAACCCCAGACAACTTGTACCCAGCCAACTGAGCAAGAGAGTAGAATTAAAGGTATTTTCAGACATGCGGATCTCAAAAATTTAACTCCCACATGTCATTTGTCTGAAACATCCAAAGGATGTCCTTTAACAAGATGAGGGGTAAGCCAAGAAAGAGGAAATTGTGAAAGTCAGGAAATAGGATCCACCAGTTTTCAACAGTGAAAGGAATCCCCACAGGATGGCAGTGGGAAACCCAGGAAAAATGTTTAGCAGGAGGCCTAGAAAACAGCCAGCCCAAGACACTTGATCATATAGGACACAGAAGAAACAAATGGTAAAGAGCTTGATGGCTGGTGGTTCAAACCCAGAGACACTTCGGAATACAGACCTAGCTAGCTATCTGCTTTGGAAAGTAAAACGCTATGGAGCAGTTCTGTTCTGCACACCATGAGTCCAACAACAACAGGAAATAGATAGGATGGAGGCCTGGGTTCTGTCTCTTCACACTCCAGAAGCAAGCAGTTTTATCTTTATTCTGCTCATCTCTAGACCTGGATTTTCTCATCTGTTAAAAAGGAGATGATTACACTATACCTGACTTCGTTTACAGAATACAGCCAGCTGCCTTCACACATTTTATCTTCTCTAATCCTTAGAACAATCCCACAAAATGGGTCAGTGTTATCCCCACTTTTCGGATTAAATATCAGTGGCTTTGAAAGGTTTAAGGAGACAATATCTCCCTTGGGAACACTCAGTCCTTGACAGTTCTAGGATGTTTGCTCTAGGTTCAGAAGGTCCCTTGTGCATCATTGCATGTAATGGAATCCTGAATAAATGCATATTTGACATGGGCAGCTGTGCAAAACAACCTGTCCTGTCTTGGCTTTCTGCAGATGCTGAAAACAGAGCAGGACCTGGTCACTGTGATAGGTACATTGCTCAGTGCCCCATGGTTTTGCTACTTTCAGTACCTCTAAAAACCACTTCCAAGTCCTAGGTGCTCTCATTTTCTATAGTAAGTAAAGATTTCAAGAGCACCCATGGCTTAGTTAAGCACCAGACTAGCCATTGAAGTAGACTACTTGACTTAATCCTAAACAGCAGTGCTGTATGGTAGATTTTATTACTTGGGTACACACACACGTTAAGTAACTTTCCTAGTCTTTAGCTAGCAAGGGGGCAGAGTTGAGCTTCAAATCCAAGTCTTAAACTTGAGACCTCTCCTGTTTCCGCTGTGGCATTTAAAGGAATTGAGGGTGGGGAGGGGACAAAACAGAAGACTGGTAGTGCAGAGACGTGTAGTATAGGGGAACTGCTGCAGTGACCAGATGGACTTGTTTCTTAACCTGAAACCAAGTGTGATAAAACCCTGCCCACCCCACAAGACCAGCAAGATAAAATTGATAAGTAGGAAGAGTTGGATTTGTGTGTATGTGTTTGTAAATTACAATCCCAGCACAGATAGGATATTCTCATTTTGTACTGATTTGCAAACTTATGAAAATCAGTGTAATGGTTGCTGGTAAGAACATGTGCATTGCTTTAGTGTCAGTTTCTCCTTTACGATGTTAGGCTTGTTGATCCTGTTTCCCAGCAAAGATCAGAGAGAACAAAATTCTCTTATTTGCACCAAGATTAGCCTTCACTGTGCCTGATTTTCCAGGCCAGTGCTGGTGTTGAAGCTGTGCAGCCATAGAAATGCAAAGTGGAGCTTCTGAGAAACGTGTTTCTTCTCAGTGAACTGATAATAAAAGAATTCTCTTCTTTTGGTATTTTATATACCATTCTTATTCCTATTTTTGGTCCTGTCTGCCCTATCATTTTAAAAGCTTTTGCTTTTCCTCAGACATTTAAAAAACATTTCAATCCTGTATAGTTGCGATTCTCAATTCTACCCCATGTCCAGAAAGAATAATTACCACCTACCTGCTTTGTGGTATGAAAGAATATAAACCAGTTGAAACATATCCAAAGAAAGGCCAAGTTAATATAAAGTGAGATTTTCTTACTAATGGATGAGATTC